AGCCGAGGCTGCGGTATAACATGCACGATAGCACACTGCCCCGCATTCCTTTTGATCCAATCCTGCAAAATCTGCTGAGGAAGCGCGGGGTGCTGCGAACGCTTCAGCATAAACACGCTCGGCCACTGCATAGCCCGCCTAAACACAAAAAGTCAGCGACCCCTTCTCTCTCTCGCGCGCGCGCAAACGTGAGACACTCACAGCTGATCGACGCAATTCCCCGCGAGCAGCGAGACCTGCGCGCTACCCGTCCGATTACCCGTACCCGTCCACGCCAACAAGCCCTCCCACACGACCTGCCCAACAATGTCATGTCTTCCCTGTCCCTGCGCTGGATTGCTCGGACCGGCGATAGCAGGCGGTTGGGCGACCGAGCGGACCTGGGGCGGCGCGGGGGGATACGTCGGTACGCTCCTCGGCTCTCCCAGCTGCGGCGTTGGCGGTAGGAACGTCGGACGAGGAACTTGGGAGGGTACGGCGTTGGTCGGTCGGAGGCGGCAGCGGAGCCGGAAGCATTTGAAAGTGGGCGTATATAGCGGGACCACGTAGTCGCTGAGACAGTTCACAATCAGGCCATCGCGGACTCTGGAGCAAACCGCTATTCCGATCGTTCATATCCAGTCTGCTTGAACCGCATCGTGATCTCCGGAGAAAAGGCCAACTCTAGATACCAGGATGTGGACCAAATATTAAGTCAGGGCTTTGTAGATCTGTAACGTCGTATGAAACGATATGTCGGCAGTGCTTGATGGGATGCGCGTGGGAGAGCGGAGGCTCTGTCCTGCGCTCGCGTTGCAAGCAGCTCGTCTTTCGTCAGGCGCCCTGCTCTACTCCTGCTGTGGCTCGTTCTCTGCGCCAGCTCTTCGTTCATGCACCCTACTCGTCTTCCGCCAGGCGCCCTGCCTTTGCACAGCGCTCGTCCTCTGCGCTGCTATCGTTCATGCGCGCACTGGATCCCGCCTTCTCCAGGACGAGCTTCCCTCGCGTTCGCGCTGCCCGCCCTCTCGCTTCAAGCTCGAACACGCAAAGAGCTCCACGCAAAGGCGACCCAGGCTGACTGCGACAGTCAACGTGCGCGGAAATCGTTATGAGGCGGATGGTCAGTCGCATGATGGGGTGCGCATGGGAGAGGGTTGTACATGCAGGAAAGGAAAGGAGGTGGCAAGCTTCGTGCGTCGTCTCTTAGCTCATACCTCCGCGTACGCTCAATGCATGCGTGCGCTTTTATTCTGACCCTGTAGCAGACGTCTAACCTCATCCAATTCCATCGCGGCGTCCCTCCCTTTGCCTATCCCTCACGAGTCACCGTAACACCACAATCGCACGCATAGCCAGCTTCAATGCCTCCGTGAGTGCACCGCGCTGCGGCGTTCATCAGTGTCATCTCCGTAGGCAACGTCAGATGCTTCTCTCGGCGTTGCAGTGGAAACGAACGATGGACGGTGCCACGGAATTTCAGGACCTGCAGCCGAATGATGACCGTACGCATGCTGCCAAACCATGCGCGTACTTCAAACTGAACAGCCAGGGCAGACACAGGCACCGCAATGCTTCCTCGCGGTCCACAGACATATCCCGCGGTGCTCACATTCGATCACTCGATGGCCACAACGTCACCGAAGATAGCCGCACATCGGGCCACTCACTCCTTGCAAACGCTCGACTGGATTGGAGTGAGCAGCGAGTGGAAGCGTACGCAACATCTCATTTCGTTCGTTCTTATTCTCACTCCATCCAAAGTACAACTATTGTTGTTAAGGCACTGCAACCGCGCGCTGTAACCAGCTTCGAAGCCCTAGTGAGCACACCATGCGCGCAGCGTCCGCGGACGTCAGATGCGACCTTCTCCACTCTCAAAACCGAGCCCGGGCTGCAACACAAGCAGAGCATGATGGGTTCGCGCATGCCGGATCAGCGTGCACGCGAATATCGCGAATTCAAGCCATCTGCCGGTGCTGCGGAAGAGCGCACAAGGCCAGGCTTCCAAGAGAATCCCATCCGTACGCGTCCTCCGAGTCGCACGTCGAGGTGAGTGCCCGTTCGTTCGCGCACGTCGTGTACGCTAGAGGATGCGACAGCACGGCGTTCGTGGACATCGTGCACACAGACGCGACCTGCGTCGTCTCTCGGTTCTCGTAGGTGAGCCCGGGTTACGACATTAGTGGAGGACGATGGACACCACAGGTTCTGGTGCTCACAGCCTGCGTACGCGCCGCCGGATCGATGTGCGTGCTCACCATGACCAGGCCATTCCCGCTTACTTCTGTACCTACCGCGGTGCGTTGCGCTGATCGTTCGACAGCCGGCATCCTCGTAGAATGGAGGAGCACACGGGGCCAGGCTCCCAGGAGAATCTCGTCCATACATGGCTTCCAAGTCGCACGTTGAGGTGAGTGCCCGTTCGTTCGCGCGCATCGCGTACACTACAGAATGTGACAGCGCGGCGTTCGTGGATGTCATGCACACGGACGCGACCTGCGTCCGTTCTCGGCTCTCGTAGGTGAGTCCGGGCTGCGACACTAGCGGAGAATGATGGGCACCGTGGATTCTGGTTCACAGCTGTATGACACCTCACGCGTGCCTCTGGATCGATGTCCGCGCAAACCATGAATAGGCCATTTCTACTTATTGCAACGCTTCTTTGAGGTCCAGAAGAGACCTACTATGGTGCGTTGATCGTCAAACAGTCAGTATATTGTCGAAAAGAAGAGCGCGCTCAGGGCCAGGCTCCTCGAGGAACCCCAATCTGTACACGGTCTCTCACGTCAAGTCAAGTGCCCGTTTCATTCATGCACATCGCGTCTAGTACAGAATGCGACCGTCGAGGCTCATAGACAGACACGTTGCTGGTACGGAATGGAAAACATTCACCTCGGTCGTTGGCGCACTACAATCCTGTCCCGAGCCCAACTAAGCACGCCATGGCCACGGCGCGGCATTTGTGGATGTCGTGTGCTTAAGCGCGAGCTGCGTCTGCTCTCGTAGGTGAGTCAGGACTGCGATATTAGTGGAACATGGGCACTGCAACGGTTCTTCAAGGCCCAGAAAAGGCCTATCGCGGTGCGCTGCGCTGATCGCTCATACAGTGGGCGCATCGATGAAAAGGAAGAGTTCGCGGGCCAGGCTTCCGCGAGAATCTTAAATCATATGTATGTATTCTCACGTCGAGGTGGTGCCCGTTCATTCATGCA